GCTGTGCTTGTGCCTCGTGTTGGGTGTCTGAAGGCACAGCCCTGCCAACACGCTGTCAGATGATGCTAAATATTTGCTCATGATCTGCTGCTCACGAGTTATCAGAACCTCTTTTCTCAAAAAAGAAAAAAAAAAAAAGTTGCTCATTCCTGTGTCCTTGTGAAAAAGGGCTTTTTGTGAGATATTCGTTTAAAATAGAAATTGTACAGACTATCCCTATCCCCCCTCATGCCAGCAGGATGTTGATGGGCAGGGAGACTACACTTTGTCCCTTTTGCTCCTGTGCCCTGGGTGCCCTTGCCTGGAGCATTGCCTCTGAGCAGGACCTGGCAGCTGCTGGATGCTGAGCCGAGCGATGCTGCCTTGGTCCTGTTGCCTGTGCAAATGCCCAGCACAGCTTCTGTGTGTGTGGGGGGGGGATGGCATCTCCAAGGTGATCTCTACCTGATGCCTGCTGGCTTGGTGGGTACAGGTCTTCTGCAACACTCAGTCCCTCCCCTGGGGCACAAAGCGTCTGGGCTGTGCACAGTTTGAGTCCAGGGTTTGAGTCCAGGCTGCCACGTGCACCTTGTGTGCAGATGTGCTCTTAGCAGCTCCCTGGTACTGGTGTGTGTCCGTGTCCTGCAGCCCTGGGTGTGGCTGAGGCTCCTGACCCTCGGAGAAGCTGGAAACAAACAGTGTCTCCTGTCATAAACTGTACATCTGTTCCTGCTTATGGTGAGTGGAGCAGTTTGTGTTTTCAGCTGTAAAACTTTGTAGAAAAATGGATAGAGCATTATGTGTTCTGCATTCTGGCTTTTCTTCTGTACCGTTTTAACGCTGCATCTGCTGGTTAGCAAATCAGAGGGGTTCAGATCAGTGCAGATTTTCTGCAGGTACCTTGTGTGCACTGACAGAGTTCGTGGCCTATAGGAAGCGTGATGACAATGCAGAGGGATGGAGTGACAATAGAAATTGTCACGGCAATCTTGCAGCAATGACAGCTGCTTACTGAGATGGCTCTCCTGGGGACTGGAATTGGTCCATGGTCATTGTTTTCTCCCTGCATATGAGAGCTCTCAGGGCTGCTTTTATCTTGAAACACTGTTTAACTTGCAATGCTGGAGTGAAAAGGGGTTTTCTGGATTCATTTGCAGGGCAGAGCTGTCAGGAAGCAGTGCTGGCTGAAGGGCAGTGCAGAACACCCCGTGCCTGCTGAACAGAGTGGCTTGGGCACAGAGCAGCCCATTAACAATTACATTGTAAAAATAAACCAAGAAATACATAAATCACGAGGTTTCCAAGGGTCCTCCAGGTCCTTGGCAAACTTGAATCCTATTTTAAATGTTCTTTGATTGATTTGAGAAGATATCTTCATGCTGTGACTTGCACTGACAATCAAGATCGAAACTTCAGACAGGTTCCTGTGAAAACTAAGCTGGGATGTCCTGCTTCTTGGTTGTTTCTTCTGGATTTTTATTTTTCTTCCCTGGCTACAGTTCTGCATAACTCCAAGACTTTACTTTGGTCTCAGGGGGGACAATCAGTGTGTTATTTCTTGTCTGTCCTTATGACCCAGCTGTAATCCTGTAACACGCTGTGCTAGCAGGAGGCCCTAAGGAAATCAGAGATCTGAATGTACAGGATTATAGTTGTTAGACTCAAACTATGCTTGCCTTTTTTTTAGGTTACAATTCAATATACATGTACATTAGTTCCCAGCCCAGCTTTCCTTCCCCCAGCAGAGACTCAGTGTGAAGAACTGCTGGGTGCTGGCCCCTCCACCAGCACTAACAAAAGCCCTGACTGAGGCTCCTATAAGCTGATGGTTTGAAATACTGCACATGTTTTAGAAGGATCTGGAAGGTGCTTGCTGTTTTCCAGGACAGGTATTGTGTCTGCAAATTTGAACCTTGTTTCCTGTTTAACAGCTTTTCTTGTGGCCTTTCAGCATCGCTAAGGTAATGTTTACAGAGATGTGAGGAGCATTTGGGAGAGGGAGCTGAGATGTTTATCTGATACTGACAAGTGCAAAGGTGGTAACTTACTGACAGTGGGCAAATTTGCTAGGGATTTAGTGTGTCAGCAGAGCTTTTCCTCCTTCCTGATGCAGAGCTCTTGGCACCCTTTGGGGCTGAAAGTGACCCATTGTGCTGGGGGAGCAGCAGCCTTAGCAGAGAATCAGGAAGGCACCAACTCAAGGAAATAAGGGAACAAAAAGAGATAGGTGTGCTGGAATCAATGGTGTGCATTAGAGAGGCACAGGGTGGTGGAGAGGAGGAAGGGAAGGCTAAGGGGTAAGTGGAACATGGATTGGGGTTCAGGTTGGAAGAACCAGGAGCAGGGATGAAGGCAGTAGTCATGGGGGTTCTTTAAGGCTGAGGAGGGATTGAAATTCATTATTGTGCCTGTAATATGAAGGGGTGATTTGAGATGTGAGTGCCAAGCTGGAAAAGCCGAAATAACATTACTGGAAGAACACTTTAATTGAAGAATGACTCGCTTGATGAGTTAGTCAGACTGTCTGCTCATGATATAAATTGGGGACCGAGGGATCGTTGCAGTTTTCTGGCTCAGCTGTCTTGAAGTCTGGCCAAACGGGTAGTTTACCTATGGGCTGAGGAGTCTGGAAACACGACCAAAGCTTGGCTTTGAGCAGTGGCCCCACATGCTGTATGGATGTCTGTGGATTGTGCTGAGCCCTCGGCCATATACAAGGGTCATGAGTCTTTGGGGGAAGAGCTGTTGGAGACATGCATGGAAGGAATCTCATTTTTTGTGGATTAATGTGCTGCTTGTTATAGCTGTCACTACTTGCTCTGTTACAAGTGTGGGTTTTGGCTGGGAATGTTTTAGGTATTGTGGCTGTGGCTCAGCAGTTTCATACGTGGTTAGCAGCGCCTTCTGGAAAATCAGTGGGAATTCCTTCAAGTCTGCACCTGAGGAAAAGCCTCAAGTTCATTGCCACGTGTGGTGTAGCTGCCTTCCCTCTCTCCCTTACTGGAATCCCATTGTTCCCCATTTGCCCTGGTTGGTACGGGTGGTACGACAGCCCCACAACTCTGCTTTTGCTGTGGTTTTGATCCTGGGAGAAAGCCTGCAGTAGTTCTCTCCAGGAATCTGTGGGCAAAGGTATTGGTTCACATGCATAACCAGTGCGTTAGGGATTCAGCAGCCTCTGGGTTTGGCTGAGCTGCTGGTAAGGAGTTCATCTTGTACTCCTTCATTGCCTCTCTGTGCAAAGCACCAGGATCCTTCAGAGGGTCAGCACTGCTGTGATGCAGTGGCTTGAGGAGCTTTCCCTGCTATTATGGTTGTGCAATCAGATGAATATTTTATTAGATATTTGTGGATTGTTTAATTAAATGGATAAATAATCATATCCTTTAGTCTAGGGAGAAAAATTCAAAGCATATAAATTTTAGAGCTAATCCTTAATTAAAATTTGATGTAAAAAATGCTGTTAAGTTTCGTTGTGAACACTCTTTAATTGAATTTTGCTTAGTTCACACTGGAAGTGAATGAAAACGGATGAAACTCAAGCTTACCTGAGCTAGAAATGAGAGGGCACACCGAGGTCATTGCTGCATATTAATTCATACTTTTAAAATTCATGGCTGTCATTAATTTGGTTTGGTTTTTCTCATCTGTTTCCATGCAGACAACACTCCAGAAACATTACTTGTTTTGAAGTATTGTAGAGATGCCTTTTTCCTTTCCCTTTCCTATGTATTAAAAGACTTGTGATGGCATTTGGGGATGTAACATTAAGCAATTGCAACAGCAATAAACAAACAGGATTTCTTTTAGCAGAACACAGTGGAGTGTTTTCCTCTGCCAGAGCAGCCCTGGGGCACTCATTGAAGCTGAGGAAAGGTGGAGGAGACATAATTTATGACCTATGGAAAGAAGAGTAAAAGAATCAAATCATTAAGGTTGAAAAGGACTTCTAAGATCATTTAGTCCAACTGTCTGCCTACCACCAGCATCACCCACTGACCATATATATCCCTTGGCACAAGGGTAACTTTCCATCCAGCAACCACAGGTATTCCTGGAGTGCTGGTGGTGGTGTTGTGGATAGCTGTATGCACATTTGGAGAATGTAATTTGTGAGCCCTGTGAGCACTTGGGATCCCTGCTGGAAGCTGGGCTGCTGGCTGTGTGGGTCAGACCTTGCCAGGCCATGTGCATGCACTGGGAACTTGCCTGGGGCAGCGTAATTATGGGAGGCTGTGTTTTTCAGGATTGTGTGCACTGACTTGCTAAACAGTCTTGTGATTAGTGTCTTATTTAAGAGGATTTTGGGACACGTGCTGTAGTGGCACTGTGTTTCTGCTAGATGTAGGGGAGAGGTTAGAAAAATGAACTCTGTAAAGGCTGTTCTGTGCTCTGCTTCTGGTCAGGTCTGTGGGATATGTGCTATGCATTGCTGCTCCACTACACCGTGTCTATGGGCAGTCCAGGAGGAAGGGAGCCCTCATTTACATGGGGCTTTATAGGGGCTGTGGTTCTGAGACTTCCTTAGGAGCCCACAGTTCAGCCCCATGTGTGGTTTCATCTGCCCACACCTTTGTGTCAGGAGCTCTGACCTCACGTCCTGGTGTTGGACTCTGAGCTGTTCTGCAGCCCACAGCTCATGACCAGCAGATTTGGTCCTCAGGAAAGTTTCACTGATTGCTATTTGGACTGTGTGTGCAGTTTTACTCAAGCACAACTCATGTTTAAAGGTGCTGGCAGCTCAGTCACTGCTTTCACCACTCTGTATTTTTTGATTAGCCTATCTGATTTCTGATTAGCACATTTGGCTGATGTGACTGTTTCATGTGGTCTCCTTAATTTCTTTCCTAGGCCAGCAAGCTCAATTAGAAGTGAGATGAGGGCATGAAGAGCTGCTTGCATGGCACGGATGTGGCAGTGGCTCATCTGGACGTCCACCCCTTTGTGACTGGAAGAGTTTGACAGGAGCTGCTGAGGACAGTGAAGGATCCTGGAGATGCAGGTGATGGTCAAGTCTCTTCCCTTCCCTACCCCCGTTCTTGCTTGCGCAGGCCTGGCAGTGGGAGCGTGGCTGCTGTCAGTGCAGTAAGGTCACATGTATTTGAAGCCCCTGTTTGCACTGGGACTGCCTCATGTTGCGTGAGGAGTTGGGAGGGGGGTGAGGAGAGCTGGGAGGGCTCTCTGCTCTTCCTGTTGCAGCTATCCTATACTTCTTGCAAAGCAAAAAAAAACACTGTTTCTGCTTCTTGTGGGAGCTTTTGTGGATATTAATATGTACTAGCTAAGCCTCAGAGATAAATGTCTAAGCTCCAGTTGGTTATTCTGACTTGAACGAAACTCCTGTGCATGTGCAGGGGCTCATTCTGGTTAGGATTTTCCCCAGGAATCCTTGGGGATGCTGCCTGTGTTGCTGGGTCAGAGAATTTTACCCAGCTGGGTTCACAGCTGACCTCCGTTGGCTGTGCCTGGGCATATCTGTGCTTTCACTGCTGCCACTCCTACACTTTTCCCCTCACCGTCTCTCCCACTGACAGCCCGACCTTATCACACCTCTGCAAGCATTCATTAACTGTTTCCCTGAATGATTAGCTAGTCCAAAACGTCTGTACCGCATAGAGAATATTCCTAGAGCCCTGTGCTTTAATGTGGGACCTCATTAGTCCCACAATTGTGTGAATGGGCTACCCTTTGGCATACAATTAGTGTACACCGTTTAGCTTTCTGGTTGCAGCAAGGCTTTGGGTATCCTGACCAGGAAGGTTCTGGTGCCAGGAGCTCTGAGGGGAGTGTTTGGTTGGGCTCTTTATTTAACATCACATTCTCCTGTACAAGGGAAAAACAAAGGAAAGCAAACTTGGTAAGGGAATTTTCAGAGGTGGCCGCAGCTATGGTGTTGGATTTGTGCCTGTTCTCATGCATGAAGAGAGTTTGAGAGGATTTCATTGTCCAGCTGCTTTTTTCAATCCTTAATTTCCTGGTATCAGGAATGCCAGATGAGAGGGGCTCTGCCCCCTCCCCGCTTCCTCTGTCACTGGAAACATGCTAATCTTCCCTCCTCTGTGTAAAACCTGCATTTTTAACACGGAAAATGCACCCCCTCTTTCTTTCCTTCCTGCCAGGAGTGCTTGTGCCTCTCAGTGTTGTGTTACCTTTAGCATTGCAAACCGAAGAGCTGCAGTGCTGGAGCTGCTCAGCCTGCCAGGGGCTGAGGGGTGGCTGTGAGTGGGGCAGGCAGCACTGTGCTGCTGCCAGGGTTGTTGGCACAGGGCTATGGGGACCTGGAGTGCACCAGCAGCACTGGGAATCCTCTGCTGGAGACAGATGAGTGGGAAAGAGGAAGGGCACGGCATGCTGCCTTGGACATCTTTGGCAGCTGTTGTATTCGTGGGGCAAGGAGGAAACAGAGCTGGAGAGGGTTTCTGGTGTGGATAAGGGGAGCAAATAAAGCAGGTCAGCCACAGAACATTTCTTCTCTAAAACACTGGTTTTGGAAACGAGGGTTTTTGTTTGGTTTTGGTTTGTTTCCGTGTTCCTCTGTGAGAATCCTCTGCTGATGGGACAAAGAATTGTCCTGGGGTGTGGCCTTGGGCTTCCTGAGCTAGCAGGATCTTGGAGGGCTGCACGTGTGGGAGTGGGACTGGGCCTCCATGGGGAGGTCTGGCAGCACAGAGCAGCTCTGCCTGCTCCTGTGAAGCGTAAGTTTGCAAGTGAGTGTTATTCTGGCGTTGGTTGGATGCCAGTCTTTAGGATACCAGAAATCTAAGGCCAAGCTGACCTCTAAAGCACAGCTTTTGCTTTTAATGCAGAAGTATTCGTTCTCTGAACCAACTGAGTGCACTGGGGACTTCCCTGTTTGTGCCAGGGCAAAGTATTCATCTCCTTTAGAAATGCTGAGAAGTCCTTCTGCTGGACAGCCAAACCCAACCCCCTTTTACTAAATATGGTTTTGGATGAGGAGGTCTGCCTTATAATTTGCAAAGGCTGCTGGGGGAGTTGAGTATTTGAAAATCAGGAGCACACTTGGTCTGCACAAGCCTCTTGTCAGCAGTGTTTAGCCTGTCAGTATCTGAAATGGAAAAGGGCAGTTTCTCTTTCCTACTTTTGGCTCATTTGAAATAGGGAAGCATGAGCAAAAGCTCACCCCACCCCATGGCTCCCTGCAATGGCCCGGGGGGGGGGGGGGGGGGTGATAGCAGAGCCCAGCCCACTGCTGGGTGCAATGCCCTGCACTACCTGGAGCCAGGAGGAGCACTGCAACACGTGAGGATGATCCAAGGCTCAGCGTGCTGCATTTGCTTCAGCATGGTTCTACAGGGTGGGTGTCTGGACCAGCTGAGCATAGTGAGCAATAGCTTGGACCCTGTGCTGAAGTACTGTTCCTTCTAAAGAGTGATGCATGCATAAGAGTATTACATAAGATAACGGAGTAGTTAAGTATTGTAAGATAATGGAGTAATTAAGTGTTGCCTACGATAATGAAGCAATTAATTCTGCGTGCTTGATTCTGCCAGCCCATCTGAGCCATTTTGCTTCAGGATGGCTCCACCAGTGCTATGAGTTTTGAGCAGCCTGGAGCTGGCCATTTGTGCATGCATCTAAAGATCTCCTGGTACCAGCCTGCTTCTGCCCGATTAAGGTTTTTGCTGTCTCATATTCATGAGGTCTGTGCAAAAGTCCTGGGCTTATTCATTTCTGCATATGTTATTCTGAAGTCATGGTGGTGTTAGTTAATGTTATGCAACACCAGGTTTTAAAGGAATGCTTGTGTACATGCTTATGTGTAAACATATTTCAGTGTGTGTTTATATATTTGGTTTTATGTATGTGCACGTATATTTATTATATTTATAGATGTAATACAGCAGTGCTGTTGGTGTGGGTTAGAGCTGTACTCTGCTCCAGTCACTGCATAGCAGGTGGCTTGCTTGCCACCTTTTCAGGTTTCTAGATGCAGTTGCTATAGCTACTTGCCAGCTCCTGGGGATAAAAGTGACCACCTCAGGCATTACTTCTGGCTTGAAGCATCCTATGGAACTTGTATGTCAGCTCTGAAATGCACAGCATCTTGGTGAGCAGGAGTCTGGAACAGGCACTGCGTGCCTCAGGTCTGGGAGAGATGGGAGAAAAGCTGGCCAAAAAAAAAAAAAAAAAACAGATGAGAAAAGGACTTCTAAAATGGGATGTTCATGGTGGGAAGGAGGAGGTCTGGAGATGGATGTAAGGATCTCACTGAGGCAGGAGAGTAAATGCCCACCACATCAGCCTGAGTAAGAGCTCCAGAAATTTAAGCATTCCCTCGTCTGAAGCCAATGCTAGAAGGAGAGTGAAGAGGCTTGGGAAGGATGTCCCAGGAAGGAGAGTGCTGGAGATGCAGGCATGTTAGGAAGGTGCCTGGTTCCACATAGGTCGCACTTGAAGCTGGCAGAAACAGCTGTATGGTGGGAGCTGCTTTGGCTGCACTGCACTGACACAGGAGGGCCTTCCAGCTGCTGGTGGGAGCAGCTCTGGAGGGTGTTGTGCATCCCCAACCCCTTAAAAATAGCTCATTTAAGAACGACTGCAGTCAGAAAAGTGGTTTCATTAAGCATTAACCACCGGTGCCTCTGCACTAGTTGCTGGAGCACTTGGTTGATCAGATAGTGCTGAAAGCTGTGCTTTCATCTCTGGGCGGCAGCAGAGCCCTGACTGACTCAAAGGGTGCAGGGGACCCACTGCCTCAAGGTAAGCACATGGGAAACTTCCTTCCAGCTTCCTTCTCTCACACGCCTCTGAGCTGCCAGATCTTCTGGCTGCACCCTGCAGAGATCTCCAAAGGAACTCATGTCTTCTCTGTGAGTGAACTGGCCGGGAGCAGGTAAGAAAACCCGGAGGTGACTGTAGTCTGAAGAAGGCCAGCTTGGTCTGATGGAGGTTGCTTTGCAGGCTGTATATGTCGAGCACTGTGTGATCTCTGTGCTGAGCTCTGAACAACGTGAGGTTTTGGAGCAGCTGAGGAAGGTGTTGTGCTTTGTTTGTGCTGGTGTGCAGTACAACTCTGGGGTTTGGTGAGCTTTTAGAGCCCATTGGGAAGGGAATAGGGGGGTTAACTGGAAGTTTTCTGTTCTGGCAGCATTGGTGCTTTATCATGTTTGAGAAGGACTACAGATAAAGCTTTATGGAGGTGCAGTCTAAGTTGAGACTTCATACGTGGTTCAAGTTGAAAAGAACTTAAACTGGGACAGGCTGATAACGTTACTGCTGTACTTTGGGAAGAAATTGAAAATCATTGTTCAGGCTTCAGAGGAAATTCTCTAAACTAATGATTTTGTTTAACTGGCTATTTCTATATTTAACACTTCAGAAAGAGGAAAAAGAAGTTGGAGAAGATGACTTGTAGTAGTCATTTCCCTCGATGACACACCGTTGTGGTCTCTAAGCATGGTGGTCAGCTTTCTAAAAAGCCTTTATCCCATTTGCATCAGTTTCTTTTTGTATCCTGAATACATTCTTTTCTAATTCAGTGATCAGTGGGGATGTAAGAACATAAGTATGTAAGTATTCATATTTGTAATATATCCTAGATAGAGATATACACACATTTCAGTGGGAGCAGAAGAAACTTAGCTGAATTGACCTGAATCTTGGAGGTGGGGGGAAAAGATCACTGAAATGCAAATGAATAATCTCAAAATAGTTGTAGAGGACTCTGTTTGGCTTTTTACTAGCTTTTGTTAGCTCTCGTGTTGCAATGATGCAGCTTCCCCTAAAAGAGAGGAGACAATGAGGGTCATATGGTGTGATTGGCCAAGGGTAGGAAGAAAGGCTGCGGCTTGCAGAAGGGTGGGATGGAAGAGAAAAGAGGAGCTCACGTAAATGATATGGCAGGGGAGGCAGCTGTGTGTCTGTATGCTCATCTTGCTTGTACTCATACCCAAATGCAGCAGACTGTGTTTAGAGTTGACTTTTGATTCTCTTGCCTGTGTTGGAAATCAGTCCTGCACCAGAGATCTGCTAGGACCCCACGATGGCCACTGCTGTGTGCCGTCAGATCTCCTGGCAAGCTCAGGCATAGTGTGGTGGAACCATGGATCCCATGCTGACAAGCTGGAAGGGGGAAAGTTGTGGGAAGGAGCAGGAGTACACTGCTGGGAAGGATCCCTTCCTCAGGAGGACTTGGGTTCATGGAGATGAAGGGTCAGCTAGCATTCCTAAATAATTTGGATTTTCTTATTTCCCACACAGTCACTGCTGGAGGGGCTGCCTTGGCTAGAAAGCAAGTGAGCACTTGGGCTGCTTCCTTGGGCCCACTCAGAGCCCCTCAGCCTGGAAGGCAGCACATGGGGGCTGCATTTTGCTCTCTAGCTGTGGGCCTGAACTCCTGCTTTTTCCATACCTCCTGGCTGCCTGTCCTCAGCTGGGAAATGGGGATAGGGGCTGCCCCTTAAAATCGAGTAAAAGGAGGCAGGTTTGTTTAAATAAAATAAATGAGTAACTTTAACCTAAAGCTTGGTCTGAGCTAGATCAAAGTCAGCCTTGTTTGAAGTTGGGTGAACTTTAAGCCCAGTGCTTTCCGCTTTTGAGCTGAGCTCAAATGTTAAGCGACAGGGAGAATCTGCCTTGCTTCAGATTGGTTGGACGGAGGCTGGAGGTGACATGAGATCTGCCTTGCAGGCTCGAGCACCGTGTGGGAAGTTGCTGGGTACGAGATGACAGCAGTGTGAAAACAGCAGCTCTTGCCTGAAAGCAGCCAGACCCTGCAGACTTCCTGTGAGTTGTAGCAGCTGTGGTAGCCTGTGGTGCAAGAGCTCGTTTGGATTTTGCTTGCAGGTGAAGGTAATCCAGGTTTCTAATCTGCAGATAAGCATATATGTCTGCTTCTGAGATGATTTTAGCATGTTTACTTATCTGTGCAAGCCATTAAGGCGTTTTGTTGCAAGAGAGATCTGTGGATAGTGTTTGCTGCCCAGTCTAAGGGGTGAGCTTTGCAGTGTTCTGCACGTTCTCTGTGATTGGTGAAAGTCTGGTTTGTCTGAATGTTGCCTGTTTGATGCTGAATTTCAGTCTCCTTTCTTAGAGATGGGGGGAAGCCTCACTGAAATGCTTTGGCCTCCTCTATTTGGGTCGTGGCATGGCAACTTTAAGTAACTGTGTGGTTTCTGAGGCTTGGCTTCCTGGATGAGAGTGATGCACCGTGAATTGGTTAATGCTAAGGGCAGGGCCTCCTGCTGCAGTGCAGTCCTTTGGATCAGGAGCACATTCCTGAAGCTGCCTTGCTGATCACTCCCACACTTGCTAGGAAGCAGTTTCAAATCAAACAGGTTCAAGATGACTGGAAGGCAAGGAGAAGCTCTCCAGGATGGCCTCACATCTTCAGTGCTCCAGCAACTTGGCTGACTGCAGTTCATGGCATAGGATGCCAACAGAAGTGCAAGGATCAGCCGCTCCCCGTGCTGCATGTATGTTTTTGTGTGCTCGTTTCCTTTTAGGATTCACTCAGTGAAGAAGATGCTGTCAATCCTGGCAGTGCAATGAGATAGCTGACCTAAGGACAAAACCAGTGATAGGCCAAGAGGCTAACACTGTATTTAAACAGAACTGATCTGTGATGTTACAGAAGTAGAAATTGCTGTAGAGATAAACATGGCTTTCTCTCAGGGCGCAAACTGCATATTAATACTGATGTGTGTGTACTCACCTCAGGCCAACAGCAGCTGTTCTTCCAGCTGTT